ATCATGCTATTCAAATATCATGTATCATATAATAGGTGTCCCCAAATTCAACCCTCCACCGAGCCCAATTAACTAAATATAAATCTCTGGCAATTAATAATTGCTGGACAATGTTCGACTGCCAGTGAGGGTGGTCCAAAGATCCAGGTATTTCCCAGCAAATGGAGACTACAATACTATAGCAGTCTCGAGTGGTTTCGACTGTTTGTAAAATGATATGAGCACATTTCGGGAACAATTTCTAGCAATCAAATTCTCCTTTCATCCTCTCTCCTAATCCTTCGCATGGTCGCTTATCGCCCGCGCCCCGGACGCTAATTTGATGAGTCATCTGTCCCGACTTCGACTGCGGTCCGCAGTGCGATAGCCATCTTTCCCTTCCCCTACTCGCAATCTAAGGCAAGCCATCCCCCATCCACCTGAGTTTTTTACCTGCTCGAATGGTCATTGTCGTAAATTTAACGTTTGTCATTGAATGGGAGTGTTTAGGCATCATCTAGGGACGATATGTTTGTGTTTGTATTGAGTTTTCGTAGAAATTGTCACAAGAAATGGGAAAAGCGGAGAATGTCAACACACAAAGTGCGTCAGTTGGGGGAAAACTATATGATAATCGGATCGTACCTTTGGGTATCTCATTTCTCCATAAAAATTGGTAACAATGTACAACCAACAACAACTATTTCTTGTTTTACCCCTGGCGCGCATCTTCGTTGTTGGGAACGTAAGTACTTTGATATCCGAGCCAGCAGGCATTCTCGGCTTATCGCTCTGAAATGTAGAATCCCATTTACACGGCTCATCGATCCAAGGGAAAGGACCTGTGCCGCTGGCGAAAGTCGGAATATAGCACAGAATACGGACAGGATCAGTAACAGACTGAAGCAGATGTCTAAAGGGATAAAAGGCGGTCTGCGGGGGTATTAGGGTCTTACCTTGAGTGGCATTTGGCATTTGAAAGGATAGATCCTTTGAAGATAATTTTAAAATTGAAAAGTAGTAAGGGATATACACTACTGGTCAAAAGAATAAGTACACACGTTACACCCTCACTTGCTAAGAGATATCTCTATAGTTATTGAGGCCAGACCTCCCAAGCCTTTTTACTTGGAAAGGTTATTCTGTTCTGCAATATTTAAATAAACAATGGATACAGTAAAACCTGTCTAATCCATGTTAGCCCTACATTTCTGCGATAGGTCGGTTTTGGTGTGGTCAAAATAATAAGTACACTTGTGTTACTTATAAATTTTAAAATATTAAATCTAGAATGGGGCTACGGTTAGTATTTTATCTTAAGTTAGGATCATGTTTATAAGAAGTCTGGGCCAATTGGACGATCCAATAAGTTTCCAAGCCTGGATTTGGTTATTTCAAAGTCATCATCCATGCTAAAATCTCATTTGCAGCTTAAAAGGAACACTTAACACTTAAGTATGGCTTTTGATTCCCTGAAATTCCTTATAAATACTACTTTGAATAAATAAAATCGATTTGGAAAAAAATGAGTACTTACACCGTAAAAAATGAGGAAAAAGGGAAAATAAATAAGAAAAAACCAAAGTTACATGCGGTTTTAATTTAAAAAAAAAGTTAAATTTTAAATTCTTAATTTTTTTATTTTTATTTTGATAGTAGATAAAATGACTAAAAAAATGAGATATGTTTCATAAAGATCGGTCAACAAATTATTAAATGGCTGTTGACGATGTGCACGATAACAAAACTGCTATATCGTTAAAAACGAATTTCATACAAACTTGTATGGACGGGCAATTTGTATTTATGTATAGATATCTAGCGTTGTGCGATTTAAAATTTAACTATTTTAAACCGCATGTAACTTTGGTTTTTTCTTATTTATTTTCCCTTTTTCCTTATTTTTTACGGTGTAAGTACTCATTTTTTTCCAAATCGATTTTATTTATTCAGAGTAGTATTTTTAAGGAAATTTTAGGGAATCACAAGCCATACGTAAATTTTAAGTGTTCCTTTTAAGCTGCAAATCAGATTTTAGCATGGATGATGACTTTAAAATAAACAAATCCAGGCTTGGAAACTTTTTGGATCGTCCAATTGGCCCAGACTTCTTATAAACATGATCCTAACTTAAGATAAAATACTAACCGTAGCCCCATTCTAGATTTAATATTTTAAAATTTATAAGTAACACAAGTGTACTTATTATTTTGACCACACCAAAACCGACCTATCGCAGAAATGTAGGGCTAACATGGATTAGACAGGTTTTACTGTATCCATTGTTTATTTAAATATTGCAGAACAGAATAACCTTTCCAAATAAAAAGGTTTGGGAGGTCTGGCCTCAATAACTATAGAGATATCTCTTAGCAAGTGAGGGTGTAACGTGTGTACTTATTCTTTTGACCAGTAGTGTAACACCTGAACTAACGAATTAAATTAATTTGGATCGAAAACAAGATCGAATGATTTTAAAAAGCCTTGTTTTTGTTTCCTGGAAATTAATTTAATCAAGAAAAAGATTATTGCAATAATTAATAAACAAGTTTATTATAATTCAGCTGAATTATATTATCCTATAAACATCCATTTTAAAGCAAATAAAAACTTTAATAGCCAGTGCTTTTTACCCAAATTTTCAAGGAATCGAAAATCAATTTCAAGTTAAAATTTAAATAATTTTATGGGCCATCTTGAACGGGGAGAATCCCTTGTCGGCTTCTGGGACCCGTTTTGGGAATTACTCTCTAATGCGAATCCCATCGCACGCCTGTATTTGTGAGTCATCTGCGGTCGCAATTTCGGAGTCAGAGATTCATTGGCCATTCAGTTGCATGGGCTGCCCCCCTGCAGCTATCATAAAATGCCGGCGTCGCCAAAGGAAGCGGACCTGAGGGAAGCGGGCGGCAGGAGGCGGAGGAGGCTAAGGTCGGTCGCCTACTTACTCCGGAGCTGTCAGCTTATCATTTCGCTTTTAGCGCACCACAAGGCCCCAGAAAGTGTGTCCTGTGACGATTAAAGTGTGTGCGTGAGCGCACTCAGAAAAATCAACCGCTACTTTTAATTGAACATATGTGATTGTTTGTAAAGAAAAGTACTTCATATTTTTTTTCTGCGTAATTTGTTTTTTTTATGGCAATCCTTAGCTCAATTACTAGTAACAAGCCGTTTCTTCAACTCTTATTTATTTTCTTACGATTAAATTTTCAAATGAATTTCAAGTTTGTATCTACCATGTAGTGTTGTTGCATTTATCCCTAGTTATTATACGTTCTGCAGTAAATACATCTTCAAAATGTAGATCTATTATTTTTAATCAGATTTTAGGAAGTTTTACTTTCCTGGACTCCCCTGAGTTTTTCCAGTGTTTGTTGGGGGCTCATTATCGGAGTGCGCTCAATGGAATGTAATGGTGGCCCCACCCCTTGGGCCACCACTTGACTTGGCCCGATCTTCTACCCGCTCGCCTGGCCCGCAGTTTGCGTGCTGGAACGCCGCTGTCTCCGCTGGCATTTCGTGTTATCCTTCAGCTCAATTTCGGCTACTTTTGGATGTCTCTCGGCGAGTCAGTTCTCTGCTTTTCCTTTTTTTCCGTTTTGGATTGCATTGCATGTCGCATGTCGCACTCGAACTCAAAACTCGGACTCGAACTCGCTGTGCGTCTCTTTCTTTCCGTTCGCCTCTCCGTCCGTCCGATAAGGTTTTAAGTTATGACCTTTTAAAATGTCCAAATGCGGCGATAACACGTGATTACTACAAATGTATTCGGAGAGTGCAGCGGATCAGGATGCGCCACAAAAAATCCGGGCCCTTAAAAAAAGAGACAGGGCGAGTGGAGTGAGAGGGAGAGGTAGAGATGCAGCTTGGCAACAGGCAAGAAATTGTTTTGGCCTCCAACTAACAAATGAAATCCTAAATCACACAGCACTCCTGCTGCTCCCACTCCTTTGCATTGATGCCAAAGCTTCTGTCTGCTGGGCTGCAGGACATAGGTTGTTCTGGGTTCCCCCGCCCCATAGAGTAGGTCTTTATGCGAAAGAATCATAAATATCGATCAAAACGTCAACGTTTTATCTATTCCACAAATCGATCGTACACTGGGCGAAAGCGAATGAGGTTTGCGATAAAGGGCTGCAATCAAAAAAGAACATATAAGAAAAGGTTTGTGAAATACGATTATTTATGATCCTGAAATCTTTAAAAAAAATCATTAAAAAAGAAATTAGTAGAAAAAAATTAAAATTGGATGATTTAATTAATCAACTTAAGTTTGATAGTTTGATAAAAACTGAAAGGTATATTGGCATGCCTTTTTATAAAAACCTAAAAATATTTAATATTCAACCAGTAAAGTTTAGAGCGAAACCCAACATTCACAAGGAGAGACTATTAAATGAATGAAGTGCCTGGAATCTCTACAAAAAGCGTATTTAAGAAAGAATGATCATGATTATAATCAAGATACTCGAGAATCCCATTCTTCCCTTGAACATTCACAGGTTTCGCAGCCCTGGTTTTCGTGCTCTCCCTGCCATTCACCATGTAAAGAGGATCCGGGGGCAACGAAGGGTTGGGGTCGACCGATCACTTTGTAAATTGTTGGGCCTTGCATAATTTAAGCATAATTCTTATTTTATTCTTGGCCCTGAGTTGGTGTGCCGGGCAGCAGCGGCAGTGTGTGGTTGCTCCCAGGAATTTCATCTTTCGCTGGCGAATGTCGATATGCCAGATATCCGTCGCTCCGCTCGGCTCGGTCAGCTACCCGACAAAATGCTCCAAGGGATTTTCAGACCTTCCACCCCTCCGCTACGCCACTGATTATTACGAGAGGGGCCGAGGGGCGTATATATGGCTAATAATAACAATAATAATATGCGTTCGCTTATCAAAATTGACGTCAGATCTTATTGATATGCATCTGGCAGTGGAGTTTTTGGCCAGCGCACAAAGGAAAATCGTGTCAGGGAATCGCTTGGGCTTAATTGAAGCGTTATTATGCGACTGTCACATACACGCACGTATGCAAAGCGTTCCCCCGAAACGTTTGTGGGTTCGCGATCCCCGTATACCCAGACCGCCAGATCGCCAGATCCCCAGATCTCAAGATCTCCAGACCAGGTCCTGCTGCGCCTGCGCGAAACCTTCACCTTCGCTCGACTTGACAGATGCCTCAGAATTTTTAAGCACCGCGGGCCATCTCGGAACTTCTGCCACGGCAGCCGTCTTTTATTAATCAGCAGATTGTCCGGCCGAGGGGATCGCGCGGGGGCCACAGCGGTTGCGAATATTATTTATATCGAATTTAATAATAATTCTTGAGCCGCTGCCGCTGCGTAGGTTGCTGCTGCTGCTGCTCCCGCTGCCGCTGCCGCTGCTCTTGGCCAGTTTGATCAGCTCAGAAATTTGCATTGATCGACGGCGCAGATATGGACAGGCGGAGGCCAGAGTCAAAGTCAGGACAAGGTCTTTCACTGAGAGAAAAAATACAAATTAAAAGTTTAGCTATCTGAAGAGAAAGTAGTTCTGTCCGTGTTGCTCACCTTGACTGAATAAGTATTTATTTTATATTGGCATGTGGTCCGTGATAGATGTTTATGTTGACAGCCAATTTGTTATAAATAGATCGGGTCGATATCAAATAATTAGGTGTATGTGAATGCTGTACATTAAGTTAATTAATTCAAAATAAAATCTGAAGAAAAGCCTTGACTTTCTATCTGATGTTATACCAGTTACTTTATCTTAGACTTAACTTTAGGTCAGAGATCCTATAAAGGATATGTTTTTTTACTGACACTAAGCATTACAATTATTATTTAATTTTAAATATAACATGTTTTTAAAAATATTAAAAATAAAATATAATATAATAATATGCAATAAATATGATATAATATTGATATAATATTTAATAATAATAATTCCTATACATTAAATGTTTATTATTCTTTTTTGGAGATATATTTTATAATTCACTCTTTTCTGAGTGCATCGGGACAGTCGAGGCCCATCGTGATGTGGAGTTGCTGCGGATGCCGATCGGCCTCAGCGCTTATGATGAACGATTTCGGGCGTGGGGAGGGGCACTTAAGGGGAGTGTGGGGCAAGGGCGTGGGCGAGGGCGGGGGCGGTGGCGGCAGGAGCCGTTCAACTTTATGTACTTTCGCCCGGGTGAAAAGTATGCGCCGCCCTTATTAGCATGCCGCGGACGTTCCCGGTCGGCGGAGGAAAGTGGGTTAGCCCCCATTTCTGCGCCTGCCCCTCTGGCTTAATGTGCCGTTTTGTTAAATTGCAGCGTTAAGAATTGCGCACATAAAGCATTTTGTTGTCAAACTGATTTCTGATCATACATAATTTTTATCTTGATCCAAATAAGCCTTACACGATCAGAACGCTGCAGCTCTCGATGCTGAGCCCCTAGGGCCACAGAAACCAGTAACTTTGTATCGATACTCTGTAGCGTATATGCCATACTTCGCCGTCGTTAATATATGCATGCGTGGTCAGAGGCGATATATATTTTTTTCGGCTGATTCGTAGCTGGGACTTTTAATGGCGAATTTGCGCGGACAACAAATGAGTCTCTACCATATGCAAAATGTATCAAAATTATGAGCATATTTCCCAAAAAAACACAGGGCGTTTCAAATGCTATGCCTTATTTGTCGCTTCGGAAACGCCCCTCGCCCACAAAAACGACGAAAATGGCTAAGTGGCCGACACTTAAGTGCACCATAAAAATCGGAACGCATAAATCATCCCCAAAATCCACATAATAATCGGTTAAATGGATGTCCGAAACACGAGTCGGCGATAACTATCGACTCCGTTGTCTCGGACATGGCTTTAAATTGACACAAAAATCAAATCAACTTTTTATGGCCATAGTTATGAACCTGGGTGTTTTATTGTCCGTCGTTAACTTTCGGGAATATCAATTTGAGTTTGATTATTGTTCCAAGCGTACCATTGATTATGCGATAACTATCAATAAAAAGGAAATCCCCGATGATCCACAGCTGTTGGGCCTCAAAAGCTAAACAATAAAGCTGCGTGTCAGGTCCATAAGACAGTTGGCCGATCTGTTATTACGAAACCATTACTACGATGGGCTTTATTACCCGGAAAGCCAGTGAAAAACGGGAATCTTGAACAATAAACTATAATAAAATTCAAATAGCAACTCTCAAACTCAAATTCCATTCAAGTTAGTCAATGAACTAACTATCAAGTGGATATCAAAAGCGCCTCTATGCTATTATGTTTTCATATTTAATTAAGTGGCCAGGAATTAGAAAAGATTTTATTTTCAATAGCTAATTTTAAGAAAAGTAAATTTATTAAATAATCAGTAAATATTTTTATTTATAAAGATAATTTTATAAAAATACATTATTATTTCCTTGGCCTGCATTAGTAAAAGACAAACAATGTCGAAGTACATACGTTTTCTTCAATAAAATAAACAATAAAATCTTATTTGAATTGAGTTTTCTGCCTTGTTTTATTGCATATTTCGAACAATTTCTTTGCTTCCTTGACCCAGTTTTAATGGCAATAATAAATGAAAGACCCAGCCGAATCGTACATATTCCAGAAAATTATGCCCCATGTTTGCCTGCCCTGAACTTCCCTCCCACCTGAGCGGAGGGGCACATAAATTGGCTCCCAATATCCACAAAACGACAGTAAACGGTCATTTTTATCGAAATAATTGCATTTTTGTTTTTGTTTGTTGGCTCAGTTCAGTTGGCTTTTTGGCTCTGACTTTGGCATTGGCAGCGAAAGTTTTGATTGCGTTCCGCTGGCGTTAGCAGGCCGTGGATAATCCACTCTGTTTCATTACGAGCTCGGAGTGCAGAATGCCGGAGGGCCGGGCCAAACGAGCCTCTGATTGTGCATACGCACGAAATCAATAAATAAAAGAGCGGCCAGCGATTGCCCGGTCTTCTGGGGACCCTGGGCCAGGGTCCAACTGCAAATGGAGGCCCACGCCGCCGCCCTTCCCCAAGATGCGGCCTCTACAACTTCTCCAGCTTCGGCCTGATGCGCGCCCATAACTCATTTCATTATTGTTTTGACATTTTATTTATTGAATGCGAACAGGAACAGTGAAGGGGGTTCACTCCCCCTTTCCCTGGATTTTTCCTTACGTATCCGCAAATGTTTTGTGCAAATTGTTAACGGGCTTGTTTCATTTTAAGGCCCTGGTAAGTGAGTGAAATCAATGCCTCCAATGCGAGTGTGTGGTCTCCTCGCTGGCCGACAAACAAAAGACTTAGGCAACGAACTTGGCTCAGGGGCCCCGAGAGAAAAGTGTTTTTCGAGCAAACAATCGAAATACTTATGGAAATGTTACAAGGCAACGCAACAAGACGAAAATTTACATAAATTGCCCTCAAATCAATTTAGTTAGCCGAGTGAACCGGTTCGGGGCCAATGGATTTTATGAGCAATTCTCTTAGCCTCCATTCAATGGCCGAAGCATCAGCAATTAATGATCCGTAGAGAGAGTTTTCAATTAGACCATTAGTCCATTAAGATCGCATTCCAAATGGAGCACTCTACACTCTTCCCACGCGACATTGCCACGCCCACGCCCACGTAGCCAGCGCCCTTCTTCATCGATTGCCAAATGCCAAATGGCTGACAATTAATACACACCTCGCTGCACTTAGCGATTTGATAAATTGGCTTCCCCAACGCAGGGAATGAAAATTAGCTTGCCGCCGCGAGTTAATGGAGTCAAAACGCTTATAAAACCTATATGCCCGGCCGGCTGCGGCAGCTGCAACGGCCAGAATATGACAATATGGCTGGAAATTAATCTTGCATAGAGCCGGAGACGGAGATCCAAAGACTTCGGTCCCCGGGAGAGGGCGTAGGATCGTAGGATTGTAGGAACGTCTAGGCAGGATGTGGACTGCCATTGTCGCCCGGTTTCATTCGGTCGTCTGAGTCTCCCTGAATGTGAACTTGATTATGTTTTATGAGACTTGCTGCCGATGCTTTCTGCTTTCCGCTGTTGCAGTTGCTGTTGCATTGCGTTGCATGCAGCAGAGACTGCAAATCCGCCAACTAAGTTGCATCTGTACGCCATTAGATGTCGCCCATAAATTGTGGTATCATTTTTTATACGCTCCTCGGACCGGCCATCTAAATGACCCAAGAAAGGGGATCCCTTTGCGGTTCCCTATGCCCGGTGGGCGTTTATCTGTTTGCCACCTTTTGATTTGATTATTCACTGTTCCCCCACTTATGGCTTGGCATTCAATAATATTAGCCCAAATGGGAATCAATATATTCAGAAAATATATATTATTTAAGGTAGTCTTGGTGCAAATAAATAAGCTGAAACTTATAACTTTTTGAGACTCGGGAAAAATATTCTTAAATTAATTAAAGTTATAAATTGCATTCGAATTTAAAGAAAATGTGAGATTTACTGGTTATATGTTATTATTTTATTTTTAACTCAAGGTAAAATAACAAAATATAGCACAAATATTTGTATTATAAATTATCATAATAACAATTATTTGTTTTGTAAACGCAATTACATAAATACAAACTCCTCGCTCTGAAGTCCACTGTGTACTCTACTCCCACGCAGCCTTCACCCTCAGCTAAGCACCCTGCCCCTTGCCCCTTGCCCCTTGCCCCTTGCCCCTGTTTCGGTATCATTGTTGATGACATTTATGTCTTAATATTTTTGCAGGCCCAAATGCAAATGCAGTGGCACTCAGGCAGTACCGTTAGCCAGCGCCATTAGCCAAGTTGAGAGGCTCAGCGGATCTGCACACACACTTATGCCAACCATTAATTTCCATTTATGGATTAAGCAAGTGAGCGGACTGGCCAGCGGGGGGCGTGGAGGTAGGGGCCCCAGCCCGCACGCACAAAAGCCTTTAATAAATGCATCGCCATTACGACCAGCACATGCTTAGGAGCAGCGAGCAGCCAGCAAGAAGCGGCAAGGAGCAGCAACATCATCAGCAGTTGCTCCTTTGAGCCGAAGTCAAAGTCGCAGCCAAAGCCAGATGGCCCAGCTGGCGAACAACTCAATTGCCATCGCGGTTTCTCAGATACTCAGTTACTCAGTTTTCCCGAGCTGCTTATCGCCAGTTGCCGTTGTGTGGCTGCAAATTCTGGAGCTGCACTTTCTGGTGTTGCAGTTTCTGCTGCTATTGCAGTTGCAGCTTTTCCATCTGCCCCAACTGAGCCACTCGCCCCAAATCTTTAAATGCCGCTCATGTGATTTTTCTTGGTCGCAGCGGAATGGAATGGAGTCTCTGGGATTAGCGCGAGTGAGTAATGATGGCGGCCTGCGCCGGAGACGGAGATGAAGATGGAGGCCACAACGATGTGGATCGAGAGAGATGGGCACATATGAACGACTGTACAATGAA